CAGCCTTCTGGGCACCATAAAGTGCAATTAAGAGCTCTGGGAGCACCATGCTGTGCCATGCTATGGAGTGGGTAAACACTGGTGGGTGTGCATTGCCCTTACCTGCTGGGCAGACAATTACCAGCCAGCAAAGCAAGGTTCCGAGGCATTCCAAGAGATGCAGATTCCAGTTCCTTGCTGTTCCCATGAAGACCCACACATCTCCATGCAGTCGTTACGGCACTCGGGAGCACCACAGCTCTGCTGCCACCTGTTGGACAACAACACAGTAATGAAGGCACTGCCCTGCAGATGTGCCTCTTTCACAAACCTGCGCTCCTTTCTCTGATCAACGTGGCTGCACTCTGCGCACAGTGCTGCTTACCAGCAGCAGTGAAGCTGGGAACAACAGACAAAGAGAAGGCTCAGGTACCCAACAACATTTTTGCTTCCTTCTTCTCTGATAACTGCTCATTATACACAGCCCTCACCTTTGGTTTGGTAGGTGGGGATTGAGGAAGCAATGCCAGTCCCACAGACCCCTCCCTACCCTACACTGTGATGGGAGATCAGGTTCTGGACCACCTGAGGACCCGAACATCCAGGAGTCTTCGGGTCCTGACAAGATGAGTCCCAGAGTTCTGAGGGAATTCACCACTGCAGTCACTGAGCCACTCTCAATGGTATTTCAGAAGTTGAAGCAGTCAGGAGAAGTCCCTGATGAGTAGAAAAAAAAAAAAAAAAAAAAGAAAAAAAGCAACAGCACACCTGTCATTACGGATAGAAAGTGTGACCCGGGGAACTACCAACATGTCACTCTCACCTCCGTGCTGGGAAAAATTGTGGAGCAGATCCTCCTGGAAGTGACTCTAAAGAACACGTTCCAGTGCCTCACCACCCTCTGTATGAAAAGCTTCCTCCTAATAACCAACCTAAACTCCCCTGTCTCAGTTTAAAACCATTTCCCCTTGTCCTATCACTATCCATCCTCATAAACAGCCCTTCCTGCTTATACATTCCCTTCAAGTACTGGAAGGCTACAATGAGGTCTCCCCCAAGCCTTCTCTTCTCCAGGCTGAACAAGCCCAAATCCCTCAACCTTTCCTCATAGGAGAGCTGCTCCAGCCCTCTAATCATCTTAGTGCCTTTCTCTGGACCTGCTCCAAGAGCTCCACATCCTTCCTGTGCTGCGGGCCCCAGGCCTGGACGCAGCACTGCACATGGGGCCTCACAAGAACTGAGTAGAGGGGGACAATCACCTCCCTCTCCCTGCTGGCCACTCCTCTTTTAATGCAGCCCAGAACACAGTTGGCCTTCCAGGCTGCAAGCGCACTCTGCTGGCTCATGTCCACCTTCTCATCCACCGGGATCCGCAAATCCTTCTCTGTGGGGCTGCTCTCAAGGTGTTCTTTGCTAAACATCTGGGATTGCCCCTTCATCAGTGACATTGACAGTGAACCCTACTGACACTGAGCTGTGGGGTGCAGTGACATGCCAGAGGGACGGGACGCCATCCAGAGGGACCTCAACAGGCTGAGTAGTGGGCACTCAGCAATGTACCTTCCCAGCCCAGAAAGCCAACTGTATACTGGGCTCCATCCAAAGATGCGCGGTCAGTAGGCAAAGGGAGGTGGCCCTGCCCCTCTGCTCTAGTGAGACCTCACCTGGAGGTGCTGTGTCTGGATGTGGATACCCGCAGTGCAGGACAGACGTTGAGCTGTTGGAGCACGTCCAGAGAACAGCCACAAACATGAACCGAGGGATGGAACGCCTTTCCTATAAAGAGAGAGAGAGCTGGAGCTGTTCAGCCTGGAGAAGTGAAGGTTCCGAGGTGATCTGGGAACAGCCTTTCAATACCTAAAGGAAAGAACACGAAAAAAATTTAGCTTAGATATAAAGAAAATCTTGTACAGCGAGGGTGGTGACACAGTGGAACAGGTTACCCAGACACATGATTGTCGCCCTGTCCCTTCCAAGGCGAGGCTGGGTCAGGCTCTGAGCAACCTGATCCAGTTGTGGATGTCCTTGTTTGTTGTGGGGGAGTCACACCAGATCACCATAAATGGCACCAAGTACTCCAGTTGGGATGCTCCACATCAGTCACAGAGCCTCTCTGTGCCAGACCCAGCATTCAGCAGACCAGGGGCCACATTTTGTCACACGGCTGGGTCCCAGAGCTGCAGAGCTGCTTAATGTGCGTCAGGGAATGGGAGGAAGAGGGGTGGGAGTTTGGGAAATTAATAGCATCCCTAACAAATGGGATGAGATATCTGGGGAAATCCTGACTGCAGTCATCCAGAAGAGGACAATCCTTTCTTTCTTATTAACACAAAGCCAGATCTGCCATTAAAACAGAAAGAGCTGTAGGACCCTGGGGTGGTCAGCCACAAGGTGCTCTGACAACGATGCCCTGGGATCCATTATCACTGACAAATCCATAAGGGAGATATTGGAGAGAACCGTAAGACAGGAACGGAACACCTGTGGTCAGTATGCTCGAGCAGTGCAGACTGTATTATACTGAGCGAGGATGAAGCAAATGGCCACTGGGGTTCAGGTCCCAGATGATGCACCTCACTCTATGAGCAGCCATGGAGCTTACAGGGATGGGAGCACAGAACCAGTGGAGCGAGCCCATTTTAAGCCTATTCCATCCCCAAGTGAGTTTCCCCACAGTCATCACAAACCTGCCTGCATACAAGCGATGCACCAACACGGGGCTTGTGATGTTCCATTACCTGCTCTGCAGTTCTCACACCACTGATTAGAGGAGCCCTGGCAATCCTAAAACCCCATCGAGCTACAAAATAAGATCAGAAGAAACACAAAACGTAATTTAATACATGATAATTATGCACAGAACACCCTTAAACAACTCTGCATGGGCGAAATTAATACATGGCACTGTTCGCTACAGTCATGAAACAGGCTGGGATGATGTGACAGCAAACAAACTAAGTCTGGAGCCCCAGGTTGGAGATTATGTGGTGAAAATCATGACGAGGGAACAGGCTCCACCAGAAGATAGTGGGCTTAAAGAGACTTGCAAACGCAATCTACAAAATGCAGAACCCCTTTATGGAAGTGCTCAGTCAGCCAACCAGCATCATTGGGGATGATTGAAGCATTCCAGAAATGAGAAAGCATTGAAAGAAAGAAATGTATACCAATCCCTCCATCAGCAACTCAGAAAGGGAGAGAAACCCTTTCTCTCCCTTAGATAAGAACTGAAGGGCATTGTAAGGACACGCACAGCAGATACAGCTGCTCTAAGCCATTTCAGAATCCCCTGAGAAGGTGGAGTTCACAGCCCTGCAGTAAAGAAGGAATTGCTCACCCCACTCCAAGTGCTTGCTCCACATCCCAAAGGAAGCAGTCTCCAGGCACAGATGATGCCCTTACAGCTGCCAGCTCTTAAATGTGGTCAGGATCCTCTAAAAAATGGGGAGTTCATAACCCTACAACAGAGAGGAAATCAATTGCCCCATTCCAAAGACAAACACTCACCCCACACTCTAAAGGAAGCAATCTCTAGACAGAGACGCTGCCCTTACAGCTACCAGCCCTTAAACGTGGTCAGGATCCCCCAAAAAATACAGAGCTCACAACCTCAAAATAACAAAGGAAATATTCACCCCACATACCTAAAGAGGCAACCTCCAGGAAGAGAAAACACCCTTACAGCTACAAACCTTTAAATGCTGTCAGGATCCCCCCAAAAAGGAGGGATCACAGCCCTGAAATAAAAAAGGAACCACTCATCCCACTCCAAGGGCTCACCCCACACTTGAGAGGAAGCAGTCCCCAGGTAGAGCTACTACCCTTACAGCTGCCAACCCTTAAAAGTGATCAGAATACCCCAAAAAGGAGAGATAATGGCCCTACAGTAAAGAAGGAAACACATCCCACACACCAAAGGAGACAGCCTCCAGATACAGATCCTGACCACGTTGAAGGGCTGACGGCTATATGGGCAAGATCTAACAAAAAGAGAAGCCCACAGCCTTGAAACATAGAAGGAATCACTCACCACACTCCAAGGGCTCACCCAAGGCTCCCAAGAAGGCAGTCCCCACAAAGAGATGCTGCCTCTATGGCTGCCAGCCCTTAAATGCGATCAGGAAGGGGTGGAGCCAGGCTCAGCCCTATCCGGTCCCATAGGAGAATTGCTTCCACCTGTGCTCGCAGGGCTACACCCCTCAACAGGTGCTTAATCACTGCTTCAGGCTGTGACCTCACAGTTCCCATAAAGGTATGAAGAAAGAAAAATAAATAAATAAAAAGTAATGACTGGCAGGTAATTGGGTCTGCCTGTCTAGCAATGGGAGGTTTATCAGTGGATGAGCTATGACAGCCCACGTATTTTGATCCCAATCTGTCCTCAGAGACAATTGGTGATGTTTCTAATAGGTAGGGGAGCACAGATTTCAAAACACAGTAAGATGTAGAGAAGCTGTGTGTGCAGCCTGGACAGCAAAGGGTTGAGATTACCGGTGTGAATGGAGCAAATGCTGTTGACCAAACTGCCAGGGTCAGCTTATGGCTTCCCAGTGAGAAATGTGTGTCACTTGCTCGCTTTGCAATTAAAGACCATCGTGAAAATATTTCAGGATTTGGTGTTGTATGGGAACTGCTGAGTCGTGGCCTGAACCTCTGATTGATCACCTGAGGCGAGCCGTGAGTCAGCCAGAGGAGCACAGGTGAAGGCAATTCAATTCACCTGTGCTGCCGGAAGGGGTGGAGCCTGGCTCCACCCCTCCTAGACCTATTTAAGAGCTGGCTACGATTGGGGAAGGATCTGTTCTGGAGGTTGCCCCTACTGGTGATTTGCAGGTGGACTCAGCATAAGGGTAAGCCTTCCAATTATTCTCTTTTGTGATCATAGTTTACTTTGCCTATCTCTCTTTTTTATTTTGTGATTATAACACCCTAATATTCTTTGATTATATGCGTGTCCTCAGTGGGTGAACCTGCTACTTGCCTCTATGTACTGTTATGTTGGGATGTAGTGCTGGGGTATCACTGGGATTGACAGCAGGGGCTGTTGCTGGGGTGATGTTATTGAGATGATGGGTGATGCTGGGGTGTCACTGAGGTGATACACATCAAGGAGTAATGCTGGAGTGATGCTCAGGGTTGATATTGTGGTGAGATTGGGATGATACTGCAGTGATGTGGTGGGGTGACGCTGCGAGGTGATGTTGGTGTATCAATGGGGTTAAACATCAAGGAATGATGTATGTTGATGATATATGTTGGAAATATAATATAGCACCGAGGAAGTAGTCCAGGAGGTTTATAGACTTGTGGAAGATAGCTTCCTTACGCAACTGGTAGGCGGTGCCCTGCTGGACCTGGTCTTTGCTAACAGAGAAGTACTGGTGGGAGAAGTGAAGATTGGAGACCATCTTGGGCAGAGTGACCACGGAACTGTAGAATTATCCATTCTTGAGGATGTTGAATGAGTGACCAGCAAAACCACCTTCTTGAACTTCTAGAGGGCAGACTTTGATCTGTTCAGTGTGCTTGTAGCGCGGGTCCCTTGGGAGTCGCTTCTCAAGGGTAAAAGGGGCCCAGGAAGCCTGGACGCTACTCAAGACAGAAATCTTAAAGGCACAGGAACAGGCTGTCTCTGAATGCCGTAGGAGTAGATGACTCGTGTGGATGAGCTGGGAATTACTGTTGAGACTCAAGGAGAAAAAGCCTACGTCCTCTGGAAGAAGGGGCAGGCTACTTGGGGAGATTATAAAGAAGTAGCTAAGGTATGCAGGGAGGAAGTTAAGAAGGAGAAAGCCCAACTTGAAGTCAGATTGGCCTCTGCAGTAAAAGACAATAAAAAAATCCTTTTATAAATATATCAACGGCAGAAGAAGAACCAAAGATAATTATCATCCTATACTTGATGCAGCAGGGAATGTGGTCACTGAGGACAAGGAGAGGGCTGAGGGCCTCAATGCCTTCTTTACATCTGCCTTTAATAGCCAGGCTAGTTATCCTCTGGGTTTTTTATGCCCCGATCTGGAAGTCTGGGACGCTGTTCAGAATATGCCCCCAGCGATTCTGGTGGAGATAGTCAGAGAGCTTCTCCTCTGTCTGGACTGTCACAAGTCCATGGGACTGGATGGGCTGCACCATCAGGTGCTGAGGGAGCTGGCAGGGGTGATTGCTGAGCCCCTCTCGGCCATCTATCAGTGCTCCTGGTTAACTGGTGATGTCCCAGAGGATTGGAGGCTTGCTGATGTGACTCCCATCTTCAAGAAGGGCTGTAAGGAGGATCCGGGGAACTATATGCCTGTTAGCCTGACCTTGGTACCAGGGAAGGTTATGGAGCACATCATCTTGGATGAGATTGCATGGCATGTGCGCAGTGTCCAGGAGATCAGGCCAAGTCAGCACGGGTTCATGAAAGGCAGGTCATGCTTGACCATCCCCATCTCCTCATCACCTGGCCCCAAACCTGTCTCCAAATCTAGGGCCCAGATGGATCCCTGCTATGACAACAAAAAGCCCAAACGCCCCAAATTCAGACCCTGAGCAGTATGACTCATTGCACTGTGCCTCGATGTAAGCTGCATGGACCCCCAGACTGCCCCAAAACAGCACAAAAGCCCGCACCCAAAATACAAAGCACGTACTGTTGTTGACAAAGCAGTACGCATGCATCAGATCCGGCAAGCACTACGCACGTGCCAAGTCCGACACAGTGTGCACCATTCTTGGCACGCCTCCACACCGGCCGCCAGTCGGAACACAGCCCTACGCATGCATTTGCATCGACACAACGCTACGCATGCGCCTTTCTTGGCACACCTGTACGCACGCGCTTTTCTCTTCACAGCATTACGCATGCGGTGTTTTCGGCACACCACCACGCGTGCAGTTCCGCACATTTGCCACACGGTGGCAGCAGAGACCGCGGACCGCGAGAAATTTTATATTTTGGGGAGAAACTGTCCTATTTTGGGGAGTAAAGTGGCCCCTTGGAGTCCACAAGGCCCCTCAGAACACCCCAGTGCCCCCCAAGCACCCCCTAGAGCCCCTCAGTGCCTCCAGTGTTCCCCGGTGCCCCCCTGTGCCCCCCAGAGCCCCTGACAGCCCCCCCAGTGCAATTCAGAGCTTCCTATTGCTCCCCAGTATCCTCCCAGAGTCACCGAGTGCCTCTCAGAGCCCCCAAGTACCCAATAGTGCCCCTTAGAGCCCTCCAGGGCCCCTCAGAGCGGGCGGTACCACGCTGAGCGCCGGCAGAGGACCCCTCCCCAACCCGACTTGGTCGGAGCACGGCCACTGCGTGTGGGATTTCCCCGCCATCCGGGAACGGCTTTTCCCGGGCAGGAGCTCAGCGGCACCGGAACGACAACAGTGGCTGGAGCTGCCCTCGGGTACCCGACTGCCGGGCTCCAGCCGGGGCGGGTCAGTCCCACAGCGCACCAGGGAAGGGTCACCCGTCCCGGTCCTGGGGCCGGCACCGGTGCCGATGACCCTGGGGCGAGAGGGAAGTCCGCCCCCTCGGTACTCCCCTGTCCCCCCTCCTATTGGCAGCTTCGTAGCAAGCCCCGCGTCACCATTGGCCAGCACCGCCGATGGGCACCGCCCCCGCTGCATCCGCGCTCGGCCCCGCTTGGTCCGGAGCAGCCCGGGGACACCGGGCACGGCGGCGTACGGGGTACCGGTACAGCTGTGACCGAGCACGAAGAGGCCCCGGGAAAATAAACACCCCGTCCCACAGGAGGAGCCCCTGTGGCTCTGGTGCAGGTAAGGGCTGTAGGCGCGGGGCTCGCTGTCCCTGTTATCGTTTCGCGGGGGGCTGCATGCCCGAGATTCTACCCGAACCGCGGCTCTGTGCACTGGGGGTCGCTGGGAGGTTCTGGGGTTCACCGGCGGCGGCAACGGAGGCAGCTTCCCCTGTCCGGGTGGCTCTGAAAAGCCGGGGAGGGGGGGCGTGGGAGAGGGATGGAACTATGCGCCGAGAGAACTGAGCAGCTCCGGGCTGCCCCGGGGCTATGTGCTGCATAGTGCGGGAAGAAGGGGGTCCCGGAGGTGTCCCAGGGCACGAGTGTGGGTCTGAGGGCCACGGTGAGGCACAGTTTTGTGGGACGTGTTGATGGGGCAGCTGGGTCTTGTGTGGGGCTCTGCCTCGGCTTTCCCTCTGGATAAAATATGGGACAGCGGCAAAGAGGAGAGGGGTTCACTGCAGCGGTTGAAGAAGCATACTTTGGTCCCCATCTTCCTGCATAGTGGGGGGTGTTTGGGTTTGTGCAGCTTGGGGGAGCTGAACCAGGGTCTGAAAAGGGAAGCGGAGAAGCGGCTCCGGGAAGGATGTGATATACTGTTCCGTGCACAAACAGGGCCATGGTGCCCAACATGGCTCTCACTCCATGGCAGCCCCAACCTGCACATGTGGGGGACTTGCGGGGCACCACAGCTCCCAGGGGCCTAGAGCCCTCCCCCCGCCCCCCCAGCACCACAGATGGACCCCTGAGGCTGGGAGGATTCCGCCCGGTGTGACATGAAACTGTCCTGACTGCTGCAGAGCACACCAAGAAGTTTTTAGGGTGCTGCAAACATTGTGTTGTGACCTGAAGTACAGCATCGCTGGAGGAAGGCTGCAGCAGTGGTCCCATTACAGGACTGTCTCCATCAGGATAAAGTCTATCTGCAAAACTTTGCTTAGCTTTGCCCTTGCTGCAGCCTTACAGGGGCAGGAAGTGTGCACTGTGCTGTGCAGCCTCGGCACTGCTGCTTCCCCCTCTGTTTTGCACTTCCCCATCGCTCTCCTGAGCCTCTGTCTCCTCCTGGTGAGGGAGAAAGGAAGTTTCTCTCTCACAAGAGAGAGTGGTCGTTGTCTGCCTGATAAGGGAAGGAGGAAATAGAAGGCGAGATGGATGCTCCAAAATGCCCCCTTCCTCCTCCTCGTGTTGCAGCTGCTGAGCCCCTGGGTATGATGACACCACCAGATCTCCAAGCATGGCATAGAGGTGCTTTCCCCAGGGGCCCCCTCCAGGTGCCAGCAGCTGTTCCCACACAGCGTCCATGGCCATGTCCCCAGGGAAGGGAGCACTGTGGGAGCCCTCTTCCCTCCCATGCCTGAGGCTGGGGCTGGTAGTGGGAGCTCCTCACCCAGCTCCATGCATGGCCATGTTGGAGCTGCTGGGCACACTGAAGTTCCCAGGTGCCCATTCAGATCTGGGACCAAGTCAGGTGTTTCCCAGCCCTGCAGGCTGCTCGGGGATGCTGGGCTCGTTGCAAAGGAGCTTGTTGCAATGTTCTTGGCTTCTGTCCCATTGGGTAGCAGGGGGCACCAGGATGAACAGTGATGGGTGCATGCAGGATGCTGCAATGACTCTTCCTGTGGTCTGGCTCTCCCCTTCTCTCAGGCCTTCTGTGCTGCCTTTGGCCCCTTGTCACCAAGGTGATTGTGCCCTGTGTGCGCCACTCTGCTGTGCTGCAGGAATGGGCAAGACACTTTTTCCTGCAGGGATTTCAGGTTATAAAAGCTCAAAAACCCCCAAAGGCATTTTGCCATCTTGGGTAGACTCTTCCCCTTTTTTTGCTTCTGCTGAAGATCTGGGCTTGTGCTCCTGACCCCAGCACAGCCACCAGCAGGATGGCATGGGGCTGTGAGCAGTACTGGAGCAGCTCTGAGCACTGCTGTGTTGCTGCTGCAC